GCAGTAGCCTGCAGTGCTGCATTTAACCACTGCGCCACCTTGGCTCACATCAGGCACTTCCACGATTTTTCCAGAGGTTTAAGGTCAAGACTTTAACTTGGCCATTTCAAAACATTAACTTTGTTCTGCTTTAGCAATTCCTTGGTCATATTACTTGTGAATTTTGGATCTTTGTCCTGATGCATGATTCACTTTTTCTTGAGCGTCAGGGCGCAGACAGATGTCCTGATATCTTCTTATAGAGTTACTGACACGATTCAGAATTCATAGTTCCATTAGTTGAGGTAAGCTATCCTGGTCCATAGGCGGAAGAGCAGGCCCAAATGGCAATACTGCTACCATTATGTTTTACAAACTCTTTGGAATTATTTTTTTAACCTTTTCCTGCCTGATGAGCAGGAAGGTTGGAGGTCCTCAGAAATCTCGTATGAGGGCATACTTCCCCATTCCTGTGTTGTAAAGATAAGACTTTGATAGTGAACATACAGAATTCTGTTCTTTAAATAAGGCAGGATACCCAATCTGACACCTAAGAATCATTCAATTGATTGAAACAATTGACTTTTATTTCCTCTTCAAATGAACTGATAAACCTACTTTAACTCATATTTTTTGTATCTTTAGATCATTTTCCTCCATAAATAAACTAAAAGGAAAGTTTTGACTCATTTCTTGGGTTTTCTTTATCTAATTCTAAGATGTGTGGAAAACAGATACATTTTTAGGAGGAATGCAGGAATTTTATGCAGGAATATTTAAAATTCAAAAGGGTTCAGAAACTTTAAACTCCACTATACATACAATGTAAATATACTTTCTACTGTTCTAAAACCAGATATTTTAAAGCAGTATATTAAATCTTTAAAATGTCTATTTTACCAATAAAGAGGCTGCAAAAACTGCAATCAAAGAGATTGCAAAACTATAATCAAAATAGAACTACCGGTATAGTACCATTCTTTATGAAGAATTCTATCATGCTTTTTTGACAATTTATAAATATTAGATATTTTCTTACTTCATTTCCTGTAGACATTACAGCAACTACTGGAAACTTGTTAACTTCAACTTCGGTTACTCCAACAGTTGCTAGTAGACCTATCTCTGATGGGCCCATATGGGTTCCCTTGGCCAATACACATTCACCTCTTTTAATGTCGTGTCCTATAGGTCTGAATATGCCCCCAAAACAATAAGAGAGAAACTGTTATTAACAAAAAGAACACTTCCTTTATAACATTTCAAAAGCTATTAATATTATAGATATTGAGTAGTTATTTTTCATTTTAAAATGTAAAGATAAATAATTAACTAACCTGATATCTTGACCCGGTCGAGCCTGCACCAGAATGCGTACCTCGAGTTCTTCAGTGCCCTGTATTTATGGAAATAAGAGAGATTTCAGCTTACATCACAGCATGGTATGAACACATTAGACTTGTTAATGTGGGCTAGAAGTTTAAATCTGTTAAAGGCAATGACTAGCTTTCCATAAAACAGTAAACCATAATATGGTTAAATTCTTTCTAGCTTAAAACGTTATACTGAATCCCTTATGGCGTATTTATCAAATACTGATTAAAATCCCAAGTCAGTGTTATTTGTGAATCAATATTAGCATTCAATTACAACCCTGAATATATTATGACATCAATAAACCTTAAATTAAATTAATAAATACACTAATCTTAATACTCTATATTTCTAAATCTCATAGTAAAGATAGTTTAAAGGAATTAAAAGTACAACAGTATTTCTCAAACTTGTTTAATGGACTTTATACTGTACTTTTTCTATATATCAAGCATAAGAAAAGACTGCAAATTTCATTTCTAGTATTTCTCTGAATGCAGCCATCAGTCTTTTCATTCCTCTTTCAAAACAATCAAGGCACCACTAAAATAGATTCTATATTCAATGGAGTCTTCTAGGTGGATGCACATTTTTTGTGGGAACAAAATATTCCAAATGTGATCCGATGTTCCAAATTTGAAATAAAGCACATGTGATTTGAGAGTTTTATTTCATGCTCTTTTGCTCAATGCTCAGAACAAAATGTAACAAGCATGACCAGCATTATTATTGGGCATTGTGATTGGGCTTTCTGGTGCTTGAATTTTTCTTTATTTTCTAGTTTTCTCCGTTGTACTGTTATATTTATTCTGTTAATGCTTTATACTGATTGGGATAAGGTAGGAACAATAAGTAGGCACACAACTCAGAGCTGAAGAGCCATTGTTAACTCAGTTTTATTGCCTCATCCTGCCAGTTTAAAAATTTAGTTCCTATAGGAAAATCAGAACTTATGTAGGGGGTTACATATTTGATTGGTCTTCTGATGCCATTCGCAGAAAAGTTGCCTATAACAGAAAGTAAATAAATAAAACTAACACTAGGTAACTAAATATAAAGATGTCTGGCTATATTTAATACAGTTTCACATACAGAGTGCTAATACTGCTGAGGTTTTAGATTATAAATATATAAAGACAAAGTACTATGTTGATGTTTTGGCTTGAGTTTTGATACTTATGCACTTTCTGTTCTGTTGCTATTAGAATTCAGGGTGTGTCTAAATGCAAATTTTGATTATTTGTAGAACCTGAGCAGTACAGAGCGTTGTTTTATTATTGGAATGTAATTATTTCATGAATGGAATGTAATTATTTCATGCAAAGGTAAAAGAGCAACTTATTTTTTTTGCAGCTACAAAACACAAGCAGCCAAATAAGATTAGCAAAGAGCAATAAAGTAATTGTTCTTCACTAGACCTATTATGAAACAGGATGACTGCTAAATAGATAGGATAAAGTGTTAGACCATAATAAGTGCTAATTACCACTGAATTCACAAAACCTCCCAAGGAGATGATTTTCAATTTGTTAGGAAATCATTAAAAATCCCTTTTCTTTAATGTTTTTCAAACAATTTAAAAAATATCACCTTGTTCAAATATTCTGTACATTTAATGAGAGTCAGCATGAGCTGCCAACCCCATCGTTTCTTGTGTGCTGGGAGGGGGAGATAAGGGAAGAGAGGAATCACTTCTTTACCTTTTGTCCAAGACCAATTCCAATGTACAGAACTAGCAGTTGTTTCTGAATTCCTGTTATTTTCTATGGTTGGAATTTAAGCCATTTAAAATACAGCCAACTGAAAATGTTCTGAGGGAAGTGGGAAATGCTTTTCCTTTATCTCAAAAATGAACTTTGTGCATATTTATTTATTTACGATTATTTATATGCGGTTTCTTCTCATATGTATGCAGCTCCTTCTCATATATGGTCCATAGCAGAGGTGTCAAAATGGATTTCTTTGAGGGCTGGATTAGCATTGTAGTTCTTCTCCGCAGGCCGGCTTGGGGGGGAAGGGATGGACACCTCCTGCAGCACCCTGCCGGCCAAAACTGGGTGCTGGAAGGTGTGCGCAGGCCCCCACCCACTTCATGTTCGGCCTCTGCACAGGAGGCCAAGTGGTCCCTTGTGCTCCATTTTGGCAGGCAGTGTGGCAGAAGGCCATTCAGGCTAAAACATTTTGGCTGCCAGAGGAACTGAGGGCTGGTCCTTTGCTATTTCCAGGCTGGCCCTGCAGGTCAGATTTAAGCAGCCTGTGGGTCGCATTCGGTCTGCGGGTCTTGAGTTTGACACCCCTGGTCTACAGTCTCTAGAATGTACAACTGCTGACACTGTTCCTCATTTCAAATGTGTGAATATAAGTTTGTATCTATGTCGTGGGATTACAGACTGATGGATGAATCCTTGGAGCTGCCCTGCTGCAGATATAGCAAGAAAGAATGTTTTGGTAGCACTCACATCATCAGATTCCCTGATAAGCTCTGTGTCTTCCACTTGCACCACAGCATCAGCACCACAGGGTATTGGAGCACCAGTTGTAACTCGCATTACTTGACCAGGCATTACAGTTTGAGTTGGCTAAAAAAATTCCAAAAAATATCAATTTATTTTTTAAAAATTATAAGAAAATTTTATTACACTTTGCAGTTCAATTCAGGATGTTAATGAATATACTACCCCAAATTATGAGACTATAAGGTGGTATCAAGGGAGTTTGTTTCAAGGAGGAACTAAGAGAAGAAGTTTCTTTTGAGTCCAGCACTTTATTTCCGAGAAACACATATACAAAGCATTGTTAATTTATTCTTCTCTTCTATTTCATCTTTTTTTTTAAAAAAATTGACTGCAATAGAAGTTTTCAAATACAGTGCATAGAAAATAAACTTCAATCCCCTTTTATCCCCTGAAAAAATATCTCTGAATGATCAAGAACTGCCTAACTGTTGTCTCACAATAGTTCCAGTTCCTTGATTTCAAACTCAATTCCCTGTGAATGGATCTTCAGTGGTCTTGTCCTCTGGTTGCTGCTACTGACGGCCAGGTCAGTGTGTAATAGCCCTCCCTCCACATCTATAATTTGATTGTGGATGAGATGCTGACCTGTCATTATTAGCAAGGTCTGGATGTGAGCTGTCCTTTCTGAAATTTGCCAAGCTGTATTTTGAGTGTGGCATCAACCAAGACTTGAGTTGGGGTGGGGAATGGCATTTTTCAACAGGAAATCTTTATGGCTTTCAGAGGTCCTGCCAGAGGTCACTGATGGTGAGAGCCTGTTCATTAAGTTGACTTCTAAGGCTCAGTTGGGAATTGTTGCTGTTGCACCAACCTCCTTGCTGCATAGCAACCTCCCTGTCTGAGTTCCATTTCTGGGTTGGCAGTGGAGTTTTGGAGAAACTTCATGGTTCTAGGACTTTAATCTACCCTCCCTAGGAATGGCCTCTGAGGTGCTTGGGAGTTCATGGGTTCCATGACAGCCATGGATCTTTCCCAAATTATCCAGAGTCTGACTCGAAACCGTGATCACACTTGGGATATGGTCTTCCTGTTGGAGCAGTGGCAATGTGATCTGACATTGGGGATCCTCACCGTGTCTCCTTTGCCTTGATTTCTATTGAATTCTCTAATACTACTAACCACTGGAAGAGAGGAGGACCCATTAGATTGATTTGCTTGGCAACAATTTAAACTTGTTGTACTTTAAGAAATGGAACGTTAAAAGAGCTTAATGTTTACATGACAAGAGAATATTCATGCTATAGATCTCTCAAGAACTCTTCTTTTCCTACACTTCCAGTGAAGCCACAAATAAATATCCTAATAATTTGAAAGAGTGGGTGTTGATTTTATTAACTTTTAATCTAGAGGCTCCTTATTTTGTTGTGTGATTTTATAATTGCTTTGTATTATTTAATTGCTTTGTTTATTTAAATTTTGGAATTTGTGTCAATGACTGTATTAAACATGCTAATTGCCTTTTTATTTCATGTGCATAGGAACTTAGTTATAGGCAAATGATAACTAAGTTTTCTATTAACTACTATTGCTAGATTTTATATGCATGGAGGAAACTATCACCACATTAAAATATGTAATTATAGAAATACAATAATTCATATAGCCTTTGTGTTATTTACAATAGTCATTAGAATGGTTTCATGTTATTTTTCAAGATTATTCTAGTTCATAATGAACAAAGAATAGAAAAGGGAAGCAAAATATATTGTACCTACCTGCTCACCAGCTTGGGATTCCCCAATAATGAAACGATCCCCTGGTCCATCAGCAGCTGAAAGTTAATATAGGATCATGATAATTGATAATTACAGTTATCAATAAAATATGCATTATCAGGCTCTTTATTTTTGCTATGGCTATTTCTGACATTATAATTCCTTTTCCCACATATATTTTTGCATAACATTTTTGATTTGACCACTTTCCTAATATACAATGTAACTGTACAAATTAAGTTACTACTTAACATACATTATACCAGTGTTTTTCAACCTTTTTTGTGCAAAGGCACACTTTTTTCATGAAAAAA